TAGTTACTGGCGACGAGAAGTGGATAGTTTATAACAATGTTACTCGGAAGAGATCATGGGTGAAGCAAGATCAACCAGCCCAAACAGTATGAAAAGCAGAGATTCACCAAAAAAGATTATGCTGTCAGTCTGGTGGGGGGATCACAAAGGAATTTTGTATTTTGAACTCATGCCGCTGAACCAATCGATAAATTCAAATGTGTATGTTGAACAACTCGAAAAACTAAAGGATGTAATTGAAGATAAGTGGGCGGCATTATCAAATCGGAAGGGTGTTGTTTTTCCATCATGATAACGCAAGACCCCACACATCTTTGGTTACTCGGCAAAAATTATTGGAACTGGGTTGGGATGTTTTGTCACACCCACCATATAGCCCTGACCTTGCGCCTTCGGATTACCATTTGTTTCGTTCCATGCAAAACTCTTTAAATGGTAAAATTTTTAGCAACGCGGATGATGTCGGATCACATCTAATTCAGTTTTTTTAATAGCAAAGACCAGACATTTTACGAAGGGGGAATTTTTACTCTGCCAGAAGGATGGAAAAAGGTAATCGACAAGAAGGGCCAATATCTAATTGAATAAAGTTATATTTTTAAACAAAAATTCCGAATTTGCCTTCTTATTTGAAATCGGCAATGACTTAGTTGCCAACCTAATAGTTAACTTCCTGTATCAAGTCATGTATTCAGCCGTCTTTCTAAGTTTTCTGCCATTCTCTCTCTCTCTCTCTCCTCTTTTTACTATCAATAGAGTTCGTAAAGTTATGGCTTTCACTGGTTATTTCTTTGTCAACAAAACTCTATCTAAATCTTTCCAGATTTCTTTTATGCACGCTTAATTTAAAAAAATTGATTGAAACTGGAAAGTTGGCAAGCAAAAGATCCCCATCTAACTTTGTTAATAATTATTATTTAATTTATTTAAAGGTTGAATTGAGTATGCGAGTTGAACCAAATCTAGTATATTGAAGAGAGAGCTCTGTGTACCTTCATAAAAGCATTCATTTTATTATCTTTGGCTTTTGACGTATAGTTTCTAAATTTTTGTTCAGAAACGCACTTTCTCATCATTGTATATATATGTATAGTTACATAAAGACACATATCCATCAGTGTAAAAACTGAGAAGAATGATCATTAGGAATTTGAAGTATGGAAAAAGAGCTCAAATAGGTTCAGTAATACACCCTTTTAACTGGATTGTTTTCGAACGTATGCTCTCATATTATCCACTATTTTAGCTCGTACAATCTTCTAATGCTATTTACCTATGATTAATTTACCCACCTATGCCCCATTCTGTAATATCGCGTTTTATCTTGTGCTATTTTTCCTCGGTTATTTAAAGCATCCTAAAATTTCTTTATCAGATTCATTGTTTCTTTTCCACTTATTCTTATTAGATATCTGGTCTTGGCTCCATGGACTTTGATGAAGCTGAATACAGAAAGAAATATTTTCTCCTCCTATTTGAGCTACTTCGATGTATGCCAAATTCGATCTTACCTCAAAATTTGAGCTCAATTAAACCCGAACGCTGTGCCCAGTGCACAGCACTCGGTGAAACCACTGAGTCCTTCTGTTTGGCCAACCCAGAACTTCATTCTAGCCTTTCTGTAACATTTTCTTGCTGGCTTTGGCATCAACACAAAGAATTTCCAAGTCTCCTTGACTGTTGTAGAACTACCATTCGACGGCGAATTGTGCAAAACCTTCTCAATACTGACTATGCCAAGGCACTTAAATCTCTTCGCCTTCCACCCCGAATGGTGGCATTTTTGGCGTTTCGTGAGTTCTGGCCCGTTTTGGACCAAAAACATGCCTTTGATTTCCGCCGTGGCAAAAAGGATTTCACCTTTACCTTTGGAGAGTTCTGATTTATTTCGTTGATCCGATGTTGGAAGCACCAGACGCCCAACAATACCTCTTTTCCCTCCCTTATTTAAACTGCTTTAATAAAATAAAAGTCGTATTTAAGGAGACTTTTTTTGTTAAAAGTTTGGTGGTATGTGATGTTTTGGGACATGATGAATAGGGATATTGGAGTCTTTGTTTGCTTTGTTTCTTTTTTGATATCTAAAAAGGAAAAAAATATTTACCAAATTTATCGAAACAAACCTTAAACGAGGTTGGCTATATTAGACTTATTAGGTTTTATTTTTTGTTGTAAGTACATTAATCTAATCGGTTTTCATGTATTTTTTAGCAGCTATTATCATTAGTCACTTTTACTCAATGGGCGACACTGATATATATACATATACATATATATATATATATATATATATATATATATATATATATATATATATATATATATATATATCATTAAAGCATTCTTAATATTAACACAAAATACTTTTCCTTGAAGCAGTATCCAACTGTGGAATCAAATAATTGTTTATTTAATTATTGTACAATTTTTCTCTTTGGCGCGGTTTTTGCGTACTGATCTGCTCAGTTAGTTGACTTTAGTTTAAATCGTACTTTACTTTTTCGTCGAGGAAATTAAAGTATTTAAGAGACTAATTAAATACAGTAGGTTTATAAACTGCATAATAATGACCATTTCAGTTTGAACATTTTCTAGCACTTCAAGGGGCATTAATGCCTGTCTAACAGTATCATCAATTCTGATGAGTGTAGTAACAAATGAGAGGTTCTTTTACATTCCCCTAATAGACGCATTGGGATGCATTCCGTTAGTAGTATGGTATAATCGGAATTACAGGATTTCAGAATACCGCAAATATGTTTAAGCGATCAGTTATTCGATTATGTGACTAGTTCAGATATTTAATTCCAGGTATCAATAATCGCCGTGCGTTCTCTAACACCATTCAGGTCTTATCCTATTCTACTTGAACGATTCGTAGGAGAGAAGGAATCTACTAATACCAGATGGAGAAACCAAAAAGCGTTTTGAGAAACTGTAAATTACTGATCTTTACGGACATTTAAAATGATGAAAGATGTCGATTTTGCAAAAAGACCTACATGGGTTCCTGGAAAATCAATCTTTATAATTAATTACTCAATGATTAACCACATAGTTAGTTTATTCCTCCTTCCAAATGAAATATTATTGTCTGGTTTTAATCAAAATTAGAAGCAATGGGGCAAAGAAGTCTTGTCAAAATGTCTCCGAGGCTAAAAGAACTAAGGAGGTTTATTCTCACCCCACAAATTCTGAAGCTTCAGACAAGAGTTCAACATTTAATTCTAATTTCAGCTGTAAAATGCGAAGCTTTTGTGCTGTCGAAGGCATCACAGTTCCACTAACAGAACGGCCAGTTACTAGTTTAAGGGTCCATTTTTGTAAGCTAAAAATGCTAAGCGTGTCTACTCGGTGGTAATCTATCATCACGAACTGTCAAGATCATGCACACTTTATTTGAAATTTCGCAGATTGATAAACATTAAGAAATTTTGAATTGGCGTAAAGTGTTAGCTCATATTCTTAAATTAGAACCACTTGCAGTAAATCGATACTTAATTTACGTATCACTTTTTTTTAATAGTTCAACTTATAATGGCTTTATGAAACATCAATTAGTTTTGGTATTAAAATAGTCTGAGCTCATTAGTTTCTTTCACAAACTCAAAATTTCGGAAAAAATCCGTTTATTCCTACCCTTCTTCGTATGTTACTCCTCCCCTTACTATGAGTCGATATTTTGCCCTGTCTTAAAACCCTCCGCTTTCCCCCCTAAAATGTCCATTACTCTCAGCTCCCTTACTAATTCTCCACCCCTTCCCCTTCTCCCCCNCCCCCCCCCCTCCCCCCCCCCCCCCCCCCCCCCCCCCCCCCGAACGATAAGCAAGCGCACAAGCTCGCACGCTTTGACAAGCCACTTCCTTTTGCAACACCCTCTGCTGACCTGTGAGAGACAACAGGTGGCCGTTGGACAGTGCTCCCCATACCCCAGTGCTCTCATTCACATGCCCCTCCACCCTGTATATGCAACATACCATCACCTTCTCGGGGGTGTTCATGTATATCGCTATGACTACGTGTCCACGTCCATTGGCCAATCAGGAGATGGCGTTGCTGTTCCCCTGATTGATTATCCCTCCATTTCGTTCGGTTGGACGATGTTAGCCTCAATTAGTAATTAAGACATGAGGGTTTTTTTCAGAATAAAGGAACGAGAATATTTTGTTTAGTTATGGATTCACAAATACCAATACAGATATTCTTTAACAGAATAATGAAGGGAATTTAGGCCGCAAGGCCGTCATTAAAAGATAGCGAGACCTTTTCTCAGCATCCACAGAATGGTGTTGAAGAATTATGCATATATTAATTATTCAATGACCAGACGTGAGTCTTCAGGATATTACATGAGTTTTGGATGAAATTCGTCTATTTGCTCACAAAATAATTACAAATCGGTTGAAAGTATTTCTGAATTATTGTGCCATAAAAATCAAACACGTTTGGGTTGCAATTTTTGATAAGTGTCTAAATCCTAATAATTAATCCTTCCTGTTGTCAAACGATTCGACCGCACTTTTCGTTTGCTGTCGATTTTTCGTCTTTAACATTGAGCAAGGCTTTAGTCCCCACAAACATTTTGATCTGTATGATTTTGATATGCAGAAAATAGTTAAATAAATAGATGCTACTTTCTTAAAAGTCACAATGATGAACAAATAAATAAATAAGTGAAATATGTCTTGAAAATTTATATTTAGATCATTAGTTAAGTGGCATTTTCGGGAATTGTAATGGAATTTTAAAATACTATCTTCAAACAATATATATCCAAAATAGAGAAATGATCAAATGCATTAGTCAACAATAAGAAAGTATCAAAGCATTTATAAAATAGACCCTATTTTTGGGAGGAAATGACCAAAGGTCATTAAATTTTACAAAATTACATACATTATATATTTAAATTATGTCGAACAACAGATAATCTTAGCCTTAATCCCTTATACTTAATAAATGAAAATTAAGTGGGGAATTACATAAAAAATGACACTACATTATAATGAAAAATTTGAATCCCGAATGAAAACTGTCATAATAAAAGAGGAGAGGAAAATGCAGCATACCACTAGGAGTAATATTCTGGAGGAATAGTTGCGAATGGAGTGGACGGTGGAGCGCAAATGGTATTGATACTGCTATTGTTGGCTGAAGTCGAATCAAAATTCACCATTGAGTTCCACCAAGGTTGAGAAGAGGTTAATTGTGGAAGAGATGACCTCGAAGTATTTGAAAGTAGTGATGCCTGTGGGTACTGCGGTTGAGGCTGGGGAGGTAATGTGGAGAGATGAGTTGATTCACAGAAACACCACCCTTCTTGACCCCATCCACCAGTCGTCATATCCTCCTCACCTCGCCATTCCATAGGTTGGAAATGAGGGAAAGCACTTCCCATACAATGACTTTCTCGTGGTTCCATATCGAGTACTTCAGGTTCTTCAAATCCAGTCACATTCTTCAACTCTTTGGATATAATCTGAGAAGAGTTAGAAGAGCTTCCCTTTGACTTCTTCTTTCGTTCCATACGAGCAGCTTCTCTTGCTGGATCTCTGAATCTCTTCTGTCGTCTTAGATGACATCCATTGTCGAACATATTTCCGGAGTCTGGATGGAGGGTCCAGAAGGAGCCTTTTCCAGGACGGTCTGGGCCCCGAGCAACTTTGACGAAACAATCATTGAATGATAAGGAATGACGAATCGAATTCTGCCAGCGTTGTTTATTGTGCCGATAGTAAGGAAAGAGATTGGTGATAAAGTCATAGATTTCTGAGAGAGTGCACATACGACTGCGAGAGTATTGAATGGCCATTGTGATCAGGGATATGTAGGAATAAGGCGGTTTTGAATGACTGGAGGGATTGTTTGTGTTGAGCTGGCTCGACGCTTGAACAGTGTCCAGTGACCCAAAAGATGTCCATGTTTGTCCCTCAGTTTGTGGACCATTCCACTCTTGGTTCCATCCAGGAATAATCGAGGAGGAAGCCGAAGAATTGGAAGGATCGACAGTTAGATGTCCATACTCTGAATACTGAATTGGAATTTGTTGAGGTAGTGGCCTGGATTGCTCCGGACTTGGGGAGTCAGAAAACATTTTTGCATGGCAGCAATCGGTTCAGCTTTAACGTACTTTTGACAGGAACCAATCACATGCAAATCAAAGAAACGCATAACGTGCTGATTGGCTGAGAACTCATGTGTCCGCATCGCCTGCAGTCTATACCTTACATCCCTTAACTTTCAGCTACAAAATTAGTCAGAAATCACGAAATTTCCCTTTTTTAGAGTAATATCACGGAGAAGTAGTAGTAAAACAACCATAGCGTTTTTCCAAAAGTGATAGATAAACTTTATTTCATTACAAAAAAATTTTAAAAGGTTTGACTTCGATGTTATTAAAAATGGTGGCATATCAGTTTGTTGAAATATGATTTGATTGTTTACTTTCTTCTACTGATGCTTCAAATAGGTCTATAGTTACAGTCGTCGAGGAATTTATGTGAAGAATTCATAGAACATTGGTGTTTGGAATAATTTTAACACTGACCACTCCAGAAATAGCAAGAAAACTGCAAAAGTATTTACAGAATTTGAGCTGAAAATCATATTAACTTTAGTTAACCAAACGTATCTTAATCAATGTAACCACTGTAACAAAATGTAATAGCAGATTATTTAAATTAATTGATTTATTTAGTTTTGTGACGTTATTTAAAAGGATGCATATGGTGAACCACTGTGCGAAATGAAGCCATTTTTCATCTTACAACATCTGCCACTGGATAACTTGAGAGCAATTTTAGCACCTAACTTACACAATGCACCAAATTATTTCGTACCTTTTTTATTTATATCCGCCATATTTTAACGTCGCACTACTTTCTTTAAGATTATCATGCCTATGAATCTGAGCGCAAAACTGTGTTCTGCATAACATGATTCGACACTCTGTCTATCTAGGTCACCAAGGTAACTATATTTTCTTACCGAAACAATGATTTATATCCTTAAAGTTACAATGCGATATTGATTTATATCATGAACCTCTAATATTAGAAAGCTGACTTTATCTCAGTGAAGACCCTATCAACTTCTGACATGTGATTCATTTATGAGATGCCTTAGACTCTTATTTCAAAAAAGTTGCAAACGGAATATTGATTTGAGCTATTGATGATGGTACTAACCATTCGCTCGGTAGTCGAAAATGAAAGGTACCAATTCAAACTTAATACTTCCTCCTTGGTTAGTAGATAAATTAAAACAGATTTGTGCTATACACGGTTTTTATTAAGCATAGAATGGTAATCTACTATCTCATGATAACAGACTTTTATAAATAACCCCTATTCTAGAATGGAATGCAATCAAGGACCGAAATTCAGGAAAATCATTAGAACAGATAGATACAAATCATAGTATGACCAACAACGGAATCTCTGCTTTGAATTTCCCTTCACCTTCACCACCAAGTGCTACCTTAAAAGTTATATTCTTTCCCACTGAAAATTTTCCGATATCAAACAAAGTATTTGGTACCAGATTGTAATTTAACTTCTTTACAAGTTGTATCCAGTTTAGTTTTCTAATTTCATCCTTACCATCGAGCCGGTAATTGCTTAAATGACAAGATCAAGGCGAATAGAATTACATCCTATTTGGGGACGAACCGTTTAATTCCTGTTTCATTGCCCCCCCCCCCCCCCCCCCCCCCCCACCTCCTAGCAAATGTAATTTTGGTACTAAAGCAACTCACTTTTCAAATTAAATCTCACAATATCCCCTTCCATCTGATTAAGAGGTCTCAATATTTTAAATATCACACTCGAACCGTAATAAAATCAGAGTTTCAAGAGCCCGAGGTTTATAGTTTGAATAAATATTTCTTTTGCAAGAATACTAGTAATAAAAGAACTGTTACTAATCGTGATCACCATGAATTGCACTTATCCATAATGATCACTTTTAAATTCTCCTATGTTGGAAAGCATCTAAAGAATTGATATAAACAAATTAACTTGTTAGATGTTAGGGAGGGGTTACGACCACAACATGGACGTGAGAAGCCGTACATTCATGTTGCATAATTTGTACTTAATGGGAATAATTCACTGATTTATTTTCGCATGCTTTCCACATCGAATACATCTACCAAATTAATTCATCCTTTCGGATTCCAGCGCTGATCGACTGATTGATTAATTCGAATAGTTGACCTTACGACTTGTGATGGTAAAAGTAACGGGAAGAAAATAAAATAAATAAATATTAATAAAATTCTTTATTACTGTTTCATTAATGACAATAATGATAATCTGCTAATAATAACAACTTTTAACAGACTAAGTGGTGATATATCAATGGTCTTTTACCTATCCCTTGGTTTAATATGAGTATGCCTGCTTTGTGACCTTTTGTTTACTTAAGTTACCCCTAATTATTTAGTTTGATAGATATCGTGAAAGCACTTTTGACTTATTTAAGCAATTTTGGAAATAAATCGTCCCATTTCCCGAAACATTTTCCACCAGGTTAATCGCTTTCGATTAAAAAATACTCAGTGAAGAGTGTTTGCCCTCTACTCCACTATTAAATTGCAACAATTATACCATTGCATGAGCTTTTATTAATAGAATTCTACAAATATGCCACTTAACTCTATACTACTGGCCCTAGAAAACCAATGAAAGTTAGTAAAATGAATATCCCTTTACCAGAACTAATCATGCAGTCGTTCTAGTTCTAATTACTTCCTCCAATACAGAGCCTAAAGAGAATATGAGTATGATTGATGCAAATTAAAAATGGGAACGATATCAACTGATTTGAGATTTCATGTTTGTTTAGGAGCTATTCAGATTGATAAAACCTTGGCAGGTAAAAAATTGACAATCCCTTTCTCGTTTTTTTTATTTTCATGATAATTCTAATGCTCATTTCCATTCAATATTCGTACTATGCCATTATTACTGGATTCCACTGATGGCGTTATTATTCCTTATTTATTTTCCATGGGATTTACAATGATCTTGGCCCGTTTATAAGTCCTATTGTGCACATTAGCATTCTTTCGCATGTTTACATTTGTATAGCTTCGACTTTATGTTTATAACAATTGAGTTAGTTCCGTTTGTGCTATTATGCCAGAAAGAGTTGAAGTTCAACTAGCATTTATCAGTCCCGAAACCGTGTTAAGCATTGGTGTTCAAAGGTTTTTACTTGTTTTTTTATTCCAATTAAAATACCTTAAATAATCTTATATGAAATTATTTAATTTTAAATTTGGAAACTATCATTTGCCAATAATATCCTACACTACCCAGCCTACTTCAATGACTTTGCTCATAATTGGTAGTAAAAATGAGCAAGTAGAAACGCAATGGATCCTTGAGCAGGTGGAGTTGTCGTTGGCTCCTTAATGAGATAGATAAACAGAGGAGGGGGATTTTAGTAATCCTCCACTTCGCATAGATTGGTCTTATCTCCAATTCATCTCAATGAAACTCCACATGTAGGTATGTAGAGAGATGAGAAACAGGTGCGTTTAATCGCCAAACAAGAGAAGATAGCAAAAGCTGGAGGTCACCAGGTTGGAAAGTTATCATTCTCATGTATGACTGCGAGTTGATCGACATTTTGGAAATTGATGTAACAGTGCATCCATCCGGTTATCTATTCTTTCCGCAATTTTCTCAATTAATGGATCGAAATTCATTGAAAGTGCAACTTAAAGAATGTGCTGTTCATGATAAACTAATGCACAAAAGTGATACGCCAATTAGCTGTGAAAGGGAGAGAGAGAGAGTGGATATAATTGCACTCATTTTTCATCGCTAATTTGAGCTATAATAGAAATCGTATAAGCTCAGGTTTGCTCATTACATTTTTCTTCGTGTAATAAATTCTATTAGTCATTATAAGGGAGGAAGAATAAAGGTTAGAGAAGAAAATCATTTTCATCAAAGAATTCCCTTATTTTTCTGCTTTCTTTGGAATTGATATGCTTTGCTCTATACTTTGCCGGCTTGTATATCTATTCGAAAGATTATTTGCATACTAAACTGATGTGTCACTATCTACGGAAATGTATAATAGTGTTTAAATAGGTTGTGGTAAGGGATTCGAGCCAATGTAGTTTTAAACAGTTAAGGAATCAAGTGGATTTGAAGTAAATAAGTACAATAACTTCTTCATCTAAATTTTGCTTACTAGAGGCTCCTTGTTGGCTTTTATTTAACTCTCTAAGGTTCACAGATTAGGATATCTCATTTGGGTTCCATGATAATAAAATATGTCATCTGTCTTCAAGCGGACTTACCGGAAAATGGTATTTGACGATACTTAGCACTCACTTTTTCATTCAATAAGGCTATGAGTTATTTTGTCTTCTGAAAATAATTAAAATGGAGTGTATTTTAGCTAGTGAAATAGTAAACATCCAATAGGCAAGAATAAATTTAATATAGAAGACGTATAGATTATTTTAGAAAAGCATTAACTTCGAGCTTACAAAGCTAGTGAATAATAAAATGCCTTTTGGCACGCCTTTTTCATCCATAATGCCATCTGTTCACACTATCAGCTGGCTCTTCTCCGCTTCTTACTTACAGCTTTTAGTCCGGGGCAAAATTGAGATAAAGCGACTTCATCTCACGCCATGAGTTACCCTAGTCATATTTTATTTGGGAAAAAAGATAGTAGGTAACAGTAGTCGTACATAAGTCAATTTATGGCTTTTCAAACGAGTGTTCTTATTGCTGTGAGGCTGGGAGCTTATCACATTATCTCGAGAGAATGCACACCGGTGCCCACGTTTATTTACCTTACTGGCCTTGTCATCCTCGGAATATTCAATCACCTCACTCCATCTACTTTACTATACTCTCGCACAAATTCAACTGCTGAGACTGACTAAACCCACCAGCCAAATTACAGGGGGTGGGGAGGGTGGAGGGTGGAGGGGGGGAGTGCGCGCCACGCTACTGTACATAGCTACTATTTTGAGTGGGTCTAAAGTCCGCTTTTGAAGACAGGTGGGGGGGGGGAGAAGACGATGAAGCCAGTACAGTAGAGGTACAGCATTTGGAACTTCAA